ATGGTGAGGCTGGAGGTGGAAGCGATGGTGAGGCTGAAAGGTGACAGTGATGGCTGAGGCTGAGAGGTGACAGTGATGGCTGAGGCTGGGAGGTGACAGTGATGGTGAGGCTGGGAGGTGACAGTGATGGCTGAGGCTGGGAGGTGACAGTGATGGTGAGGCTGGGAGGTGACAGTGATGGTGAGGCTGGGAGGTGACAGTGATGGCTAAGGCTGGGATGTGGAAAAGTGTTCACAGAGTTGAGATCTGGGGGACAGCAGTGGAGATGAGTTGTAAACACTGTCCCCCTTCCCCCAGGCTCCCTACCTGATCTATGTGGAAGTCCTTGAATGTGAAAACTTTGACACCACCAGTGTCCCTGCCCGGATCCCCGAGAACCGAATTCGGAGCACACGCTCTGTGGAGAACCTGCCTGAATGTGGGATCACCCACGAGCAGCGGGCAGGCAGCTTCAGCACCGTGCCCAACTATGACAACGATGACGAGGCCTGGTCAGTGGACGACATAGGCGAGCTGCAGGTGGAGGTGAGGGAGCTCGGGGAGGGAAGGGATGGGGCGCAGGCCCTATTCTCCCGGAGCTTTCAGTGTGTTTGGGACGAGCCCACACCCCCTGAGGCAGGCTGAGGCAACTGTCCACACGAGTGGTGGAGGCCGTAAGGGTTCTGACCGGGCAGAGCTCTAACAGTTCTCGTCTGGAGCTGATTCAGCTGGGCTTCTTTTCTTGCAGGAGGAATTCAAGTTAAACATAAGGAAGAATTTCTAGAGCCGGGGAGTGAGGGAATCGCAATACTTACCACCTGCTAGATAAGGTTCTGTTAGGATAGCAGACAGTGATTAAGGTATACATTCATTCATTCAGGAACTATTGATGGAAGGCCTGCTTTGTGCCAGAACTGAGTGCCGTGTGCTAGTTAGTGATGGAGATTTGGCCCGTCTACAGGGAGTCTGTGACCTAACGGGAGAGAGAACGAGACCAGTTGAGGTGGTTGTAGTATGATGTGACCCAGGTGTGGTGGAGAGGATGGGGCACATGGGGGCACTGAGGTTGAGGGTAGCACTGAGGCCAGACTTGATCTCAGCTGCAGCCTGAGGGACAGACGGGTGGGGATTAGCTGGGCAGACTGCATTCCAGGCAGGGTGAGTAGCTCATGCAGAGACTGGGAGGCGAAGGGGAGCTTGGCCCACTTCAGGAACTGAGAGAAACTGTCATGGCTGCCGTGCTGTGTGCGGGAGGTGGGAATGGTGAAGGACAATGCTGGAAGGCCACATGGGCCGGGTCATAGGAAGGATCCTGTAAACTGTAGAAAGTGACTTGGACTTCAGCCTGGGGACCAGAGCAGGCTCATACATAAGGCCGTGACAGAGCCAGATCTGTGAAAAGACGGAATCTCTGTCCTGGAGCTTACATCTAATTAAGGAGATTGGGCAGGCGTTAAAGACCAGGCAGACGGCAAGGGAGCGCGTGACAGGTGACAGTGAATGGGGCTGCAGAGAAATGCTCTGGCCCACAGAGAAGCAGGCATTTGGGATCTCATGGAACAGTCTGTAGTCAGAGAACGATGGGGCAGGCGGGTAGGATTGGATGGCTTCAAGTGATGAGGTGGCCAGAGGGCTCCAGCCTGCAGAGGGCCTACCCTGTACCCCAGGAGAAAACGCACCCCTGGCCTCGGGGAGCTGTCAGCAGGGCAAGGCTCGGGTGGCTGTGATAGCCGTCAAAGTGCTTCGCGAACTTTGGTGTGTTGGGAGTCTTTTGGAAAACCTGTGAAAAGTTCCGATTCCCAGATCCTATTTCTAGTAATTCTGAGAACGTGAGTGGGGCCTGGGAAGCTGCATTTCAGCAAGCCTTCCGGGGCATTCTGACGTAGTTTGCACTGTGAGAAGCACTGCTGACGGGGTCTGCGTAAGCACCGAGGCTGTTTGGGTCCTGGTGGTCAGGATGCCGTGTCACCGGGGAGCCTTCCTGGAGCAGACTCTGAGGGGGGGATGGACACGCATGGAGATGACGCACAGACACGCTGGAGGTGACCTGAGGGGGAGTTGACCTGAGGGGGAGGCGAAAGAAGCGAGAGCTGTGTGCGGCCCTTCTAAGTGTGCCCTCTCTCCGCAGCTCCCGGAAGTGCACACCAACAGCTGCGACAACATCTCCCAGTTCTCTGTGGACAGCATCACCAGCCAGGAGAGCAAGGAGCCCGTGTTCATTGCAGCAGGGGACATCCGGTATGGCCAGGTCACAGCGCCCCTCATTTGTCATCCCTCTGTCAGGCACAGCCTCTCTCTGTCCCCTCTGTCTGTCTGAGCCATCTGCTCTGCTGTCAGCCTGCATCTTCTCTTGCCTCTCTTCTCACTGAGTTCCTGTCCCAAAGGCCAGCAGACTGGAGGCAGTGAGGGTGCAGGCTGAGAAGCCGCGTGGGCCGCCCAGAAGGCGGTTAGGTTTCCAGGGTGCAGAGCGCCGAGAGCACCAGAGGAAGGGGTCGGAGGAGCACGCGTATCAGAGTCCGGGAGGAGACACGCTTGTTGAAAATGCAGATTCTGGATTCAGGCCCCATTCTCTATCACAATCTCAGTGGAGGGACGGGGAGGGCCTGGTAATCTGCATTTAGTACGATCACAAACCACCAGGTTAGCAGGTGTCACTGGTGTGCTTCCTTCATGAGCCTCTCTAGGCCCAGGTTCCTGTCTGTGTGTGACCAGAATGACGGGGAACGGCTCAGGAGTTGTCAGCGTAGACGCAGAAGCTCTGGGCACCTTCTCCAGGCAAACGATGTGTTTTCTTCCCGCTAGACGGCGCCTTTCCGAGCAGCTGGCTCACACCCCCACGGCCTTCAGGCGAGACCCAGAGGACCCCTCTGCGGTTGCTCTCAAAGAACCCTGGCAAGAGAAAGTGCGGTGAGTCGGATGGGGGTCCCCGCAGCCTTCTCGAAGCCCAGAGACAGTCGGTCTCACCCATCAGCCACGCGAAGTCCCCGTACAGAGGGACAAGCCAAAGGACAAACAACGGCCTACGCCGGAGCCCGGGCGGTCGACGTCCTGGCCCGGGAGCCGTTTGGTGTGCAGTTCTGGTGGAAACTGTTCTCCCCGTGGATTCATCCTGACACCCTTCCCTCCTCCTTCTCAGGCGGATCCGAGAGGGCTCCCCCTACGGCCATCTCCCCAACTGGCGGCTCCTGTCGGTCATTGTCAAATGTGGGGATGACCTTCGGCAGGAACTGCTGGCCTTCCAGGTGCTGAAGCAACTGCAGGTAAGAGAAGGGAGGGAGAAGGAAGCGGAACTCAGCCCAGCTCCAGCCCACCTGAGGTGGCTGTACCAGGAGCTGTGCTGGGGATGCCCTTCCTGCCCCAGTCTAACTGGATGCCCAGCTGAGGATGCTAAGCCTGGAGCTGCCTCCCGGGCAGCACGGCCTCAGGAGCAGCCCACAGCGACGTCTGCTGGCCGTTGTGTGAATCGCACCTGCCCTGTTCTGATGGCTGCTCTTCAGGGTGCTGGGTGTATCCTTTAGATCAGAACTCCCAGCTGGTCTGCAGCAAGTGGGCTGCAGGTGTGCTCAGATACTGACCCACGAGCGCCCTGGGCTGGTCACCTATGGGCGGCTTCAGCTGTTTAATCCACTTTGTTGTGTAAACATTTTTATTTTCTTGAGACGCTTTCTCTGTACCTAGAGCCTGTTTTGTGTTCCTTGTTCTTGGAACTTGTCTTCCTAGTTCCCATTCTCCCTGCTGGTGAGGTGACCACAGGCTTCCTGTTCTTCCTTCTTTTTCTGGACTTTCTACCTGTATGATACCTTTCCTGCATACCTCTGAGTGTGCTTGCCTGTCTTTGTCAGGCCCTGGACTTCCTTTCCAAAATCCCTGCTCTTTGGTAAAGATCAGTAGGTCTGACTCACATGGTGGCCTGGAATTTCAGGCCACCAAGGAGAGAGGTTGGGAACAGAGGGAGTTTTAGACTTCTCTCCCAGTTTGGAGAAAAATGATATTCCCAACACCTCCCTGTCTCCTCACAGTCCATTTGGGAACAGGAGCGAGTGCCCCTTTGGATCAAGCCATACAAGATTCTTGTCATTTCGGCCGACAGCGGCATGATCGAGCCAGTGGTCAACGCTGTGTCCATCCACCAGGTGAAGAAACAGTCGCAGCTCTCCCTGCTCGATTACTTCCTACAGGAGCACGGCAGCTACACCACCGAGGCATTCCTCAGTGCCCAGCGCAATTTTGTGCAAAGCTGCGCTGGCTACTGCCTGGTCTGCTACCTGCTGCAAGTCAAGGACAGGTGGGTGACTCCTGCCCTCATCCTAACCTTTTCGCCATGTTCACCCGTGTGTCATTCCTGTTTACTCATTACCACCTCGCCAAGGTATAAAGACGAGGCCCACAACACATCTGAAGCAGAGACAGATGTGTTCCTGTGACATTAAACCAAGGAGGCAGCTGGGCAAAGGTCAGAGTAAAGGGACAAGGAAGGGAAGGATTTGTGGGAAGAGTGAGCATTGTCCCCTCGAAGGCCAGGGGACAATGAGGAGGGAAAGCTGGGGGCAGTGTGTTCCCGCTGGAGGAAATAGTTCCGTGGGATGGAAGCTTGGGGTGCCCTGCGTGCAGGGGAGCAGCAGGCGCTGGTGTCAGAGAGGGAGGGTGAGGCCAGCTGGGGAGGGCCTTCGCAGTGAGCCGAGCGGCTGCTCTCTAGGGAGAGGAGTGATGCAGTCTAGTCCCTGTGCAGCGAGTGCGCCTGTGCGCCGCGCATGAGGGCAGGGGGAGGTAGGCCTTTGTTTGGCACCAGGGTAGGGCTAGTGACTGAGGGAAGGAGGAGGAGAGGAATATGGGAAACGTGGCGGAGGTCACGGTGAAACTCCCAGCCCCAAATTCTTCTTCTTCTCGTCCCAACATACCATTTCGAAAACTTAAGTATCCGTTGTTCCGCCCAGAGCTGTCCTTTCTTTCAGTATCACATGACCTTGAAGAGGCCTAACTGTGCATGTGGGTGAACAACATATTGTCCAGAGTGAATGGCACCACCTAGGCCCTGCCTCCTAAGGGGGTCTCCAGACAGTGGCTCAGGGCCTGTATCCTGAATGCCCCGTGAGTCAAGCGTCTCGCTGGGCATAGGGCAGCTGTCCTGGGAGGCAGAACTGCAGTGGCCTGTGCTTCCAGGGCCCCGGTAACATAGGAGCAGCACCAAGAGCTCCTTGCTAGAGCAGCTTGTCAGAATCTCCCGTCTCCCAAGTGCCTGCCGTGGCCTGCCACTGTCCTAAGAAAATCGCAGGAAAACCCTGTTAGACAGGTGTTTCTTCATCCCTCCTGGCAGACGAGGGAAATAAAGGTCAGAGAGCTTTCAGAACCCGTGCTGATTCCACCCGCCAGCCCTGCCCGTGAACCCGGGGTAGGCTCTGCACTGGAGGGCTGGAAGGAAATGGAAGGATTTAAAAGGAATTTGGTTGCAGGCTTCAGGCTATCCCTGAAGACTGAGGATTTTGAACCTAAGGCCCAGAGGGCCTGCAGCTGAACCTTGGGATTGAGTCAGTGGGCCCGAGGGGAGCTGGTGTTAGTCGGGAGCCTCAGGCTATTCTTATAGGAGACACCTGCGTTTGAAAGAGGAGGGAGAGGCCACTCTTTTAACAAACGGGGGGGGGGAGGCAGCTGGTAACCCTTTTGTGATAACTGAAAAAAGAACAGGTGTAGTCAAGCTCTGAGTGGGATCAGCCACTGCAAAGAAATGGCAGCAGTGAATGGGGCCCCAAACTGGAAGCAGGGTTCGGGTCCCTTTAATGCTTCAGAATGCGCCCAAGCAGCTTTCCAGCTGGAGCTAACTGCGGCACAGCAGAGAAACTGCCCCTCGTTAGCCTCGGAACCTTGGCAAGGAGGTCCCTTCCCCTCTCTGGGCCTGTTTCCTCACCTGTAAAATGGAAGTTGGCCTAGGATGTCTCAAGCCTTTCTGGCTCGGAGATTGGGCCGCTTTGCTGAGTCTTTAACGCTTTCCCAGGGAGCGAGACTCAGGTGGGCCTCCCTTCTCCCTCTGCCCTCTCTAGGTCCAGAGAAGGTGGCCCTCAGACCGTGAGCTCTTGGCCTAACAAAGCCTCTGTTGACACTGAGGAGGTCGGTTATGCTGAATAGGCCAGGCCTCACATGCCTAGCGTGTGAATTGTTCCTCCTTCCACAGGCCACTGGCGAGGGACTCAGAAAGACCGGGGGTTTCTCTTCCTTTAACTCTTCTTCCTACAGCTGCCCTGCACTGATGGCCTCCTGAGATTTTTTCCATCAGTGATGGTCATCAGATAGTTAAACCTTACCCCTGGAGGCCCGCACACTGTTGGAAGCTCCACTCTGCTTGCCTCAGGTCTTGGCTCCCTCTGGTGGGGCCGCTGGGAGTTACAAGTAAAACACAGGTGAACAGGTGTGAATGGAGGCCTCTCACCTGAGCAAAGCCCTGTGGCAGCAGCTGGAGCTTAGACACCTTCTTCCCCTTGCTTCTGCGTTCTCTACCTGATTGGGGTCAGTGTGGGTGCTGGAAATATGATTTCAGGAAAATTGAGATAATCTTAGACTTTTTTAAATTAAATTGTTAGTAATAGCAATTTCAGAACCTGCAGCCCTTGTGAGCGATTTATACCGCTAGCTTTGGTTCCAGCAGGTTGAACAGTGACAGGCGGCAGGAAACATGGCGGAGGCTGTCCTGCTGGGTGTCACTTGGGCCGTCAGACTCCCTGCCGCCCTTCCTCTCCCCTCCTCAGGCACAATGGGAACATCCTTCTGGACGCGGAAGGCCACATCATCCACATCGATTTCGGCTTTATCCTGTCCAGCTCCCCCCGAAACCTGGGCTTTGAGACGTCGGCCTTTAAGCTGACCACAGAGTTTGTGGACGTGAGTCCGGGGAGAGGTGCCTCCAGGTGACCACGCTCTCTGTCACCAGAGCGGGAGCAGACAGGGCTTTCCCAAGTTAGGGAGGAATAGAACAGACATGGCAGTAAGTCAGGGTGAGGGGAGGCCTGCCGGCTCAGGAAGTGGGGAAATAAAGGAATTTGGGGTGCTTGCCACAAGTACTAGAAGGACCCGCAGTCTGAAGCAGGCTGTTGGGACAGGGACAGTTCCACTCTAAGCCCCGTGTGCACACGGCCGTAGGTGATGGGTGGCCTGGACGGCGACATGTTCAACTACTACAAGATGCTCATGCTGCAGGGGCTGATCGCGGCTCGGAAACACATGGATAAGGTGGTGCAGATCGTGGAGATCATGCAGCAAGGTGGGCGGGGGAAGACGCGGGGCGGGGCCGGGGGAAGATGCGGGGC